AGTGAAGGATATGGAAATCTTGAGGAGACATTTAGTATACATGTTAAGTGCACTAACTTTGGAGTTTTACAAAATGTAGGTTTAAGTGCTAGCTTTGCCAATAACAGCCTATTCTTCCTTAGAAAAAGTCCTTAATTACTTAACCTTTTAAAATCTCAGTTTCTTCACATGTACAAAAGGAATAATACTATTTACCACATGGGGTTAAGGTAGGATTTAAGTGAGATCATGTAAAGTGTTTAACAATTATATGGAGGTGGTTACCATTATTATTATGTACTGTCGCAATGTGGTGAAAATTCCATTGTTTCAGGGGAAGAAGGATCAGACTCTGCTGGGATAATTTACCTTCACGGCAGGCTGAGCCTTTCACATCTGAGGATGAGCAGGCCTTTACTTCTGAGATTAGTGGAATTAGCTTTCACTCAGCAGGGGAAGTGAGGATGATGTCAGGAAGGGAGAGACAGGGGAGTGGAGGGAGATTTCAGAAGCCTGTGCACCCTGAGTGAGATTCTTCCTGATGTTTTTGCTGCTAAGCTGCCATAACGTATTAGACACAAACTGCTGAAAACCAGTGATGTTTGGGAGAAACTTGTAAAGACACCAAGTTTTGATATAAGCGGCTTGTACAAACATGAAAGCCGGAGGATGTAAGCCGAAAAGAATTTGAAAAATTGTGGAGATGTATTTTAAATCTCAAGAGGTCAAGAAACTGGAATTTGAGTCAGGTGTTAAGCAGCCGGTGTAGTCCACAAGGATAGCTGTATCCAGTCACCCTGTGGACCATGGCAGAAACTAGGGGAAAGAAGATTCTTGGGAGGCCTGATATGTACGTTTCAAGATTGGAAGGGCTGTCAGGTGGGGGCAGTTTGACTTGATCTGTGCGGATCTAGAGGGCAGAACTTGGAACAATTGGCTTAAATATCTGCAAGGCTAATTTTATCTCGGTAGAAGAAATATGCAAAGCTGGCCAAAAATGAATCAACAGTCTCATCAAGCAGGGAACTTCCTATCATGGGAAGTGTTCAGGCAGGAGTCTACCTGTTAGATATGTTGGGAAAGCATTCCTGTCTGAAACTGACTTGGAAATGGATGCCTTCTAAGCTCCCTTTAGTACTTTGGAGCTAACAGAAAACACTATTTGGAGAAGAATCTGCCTTGCCCTATGAATTTTTGCAGTTGGAAGAAGACATGAGGCAATGCCCTAATACTTTAGGACCTCTTCCGTACTAAATTTCTACTCTCTTAGAGGGGAGAGGGAAGAGGGAAGAAGGAGTGAAGGAAGAGGAAAGAAAGAAACAGAAGGTAATTACCGTGGGACAGAAATACATTCAAAAGTTAGAAAGAGAAATTTAAAAGTCCAAAATAATAGATCACTTCTTGCTAAAATGTTCTGATAAAACCTAAAAGGGCTGGAGTATGTTGCTAGCTGCCTGCAGGATCCCAGTTGAAAACAAAATCAAAGGACTTAGGCCACATGGTTATATTGGCAGAGTCTGTTAGTTACCGGCTTCCATCCCTAGCACTTTGAACATTTTTCTGTGCTGTTTTTAGTAGTGGGAAATTAGACATCAGAAATTACTCTGTTATATGCTATTTGAGAACTGATACTACCTCAGATGACTGTGTTCTTCCTTTCCTTCATTAGTTGTTAGAGTTTAAGTTCATCCTCGTGTGGATCTAAGGAGGGTAGAATTTCAAAGATAACCTTTCCTTGCAATCATTTAGTTTTGCCTTCAGAACTGCATCTAAGGCAAATGTTCACGTCCATGTCTAAAATAATCATTACCAGGAAATCTCAGTATATATTAAATTAAACTCTACATGCTCATATTTGGAAAGTACACATAGTTTTAAAAGTTTTTCCCTTTGAATTAAAAAATATGTAAATCTGCATAATAACCAAACAGATCAGCCCTCTTTCATTGTTAAATTAAGTGCAGAGTAGATACCTAGATAGGAGAATCATATCGTAAATATTCCAAGGAATTAATTGATCTCATTTAATTGAATTTGAGACCAATAAATTGTAATAACTTCTGCTGCCCTAATTACATGTGACATTGTAAGCAATCAGCTCCCTGTGATGGATGTGTCTAGGCTGCTATGTTTCTATTTGTCTCACATTTTTATGATCCCTAAATTCACTTAAACTTTAAAATGCAATTAAAATACAGCATAATTGTGCTTCCCTGGTGGCGCAGTGGTTGAGAATCTGCCTGCTAATGCAGGGGACACAGGTTCGAGCCCTGGTCTGGGAGGATCCCACATGCCGCGGAGCAACTAGGCCCATGAGCCACAACTACCAAGCCTGCGCGTCTGGAGCCTATGCTCCGCAACAAGAAGCCGCGATAGTGAGAGGCCCGCGCACCGCGATGAAGAGTGGCCCCCGCTTGCAACAACTAGAGAAAGCCCTCGCACAGAAACGAAGACCCAACACAGCAAAAATAAATAAATTAATTAATAAACTCCTACCCCCAACATCTTCTTTAAAAAAAAAAAAAAAATATATATATATATATATATATATATATATATACAGCATAATCAAGATTGAGAAAAAACAAGCTTTCAGAAGTCTACACAGATATGAGTTATGAGAAGATTTAGGTACTCTGATTTCACCAGCCATATATTTTTCAGAAGGCCTCCCCAGTGGTTGCCACAGAATTATTAACAAAATCCAGCGGCCCTGGAGCTTCCTAATGCTTGTGAATGATTTGGCTTAAAGGTTTTTGCAGTCCTCATTTGCATTGTAAAATGGACTTCAGCTCTAAGTTTAAGGAGAAGTTTTAGAAGCTTTGACATGGCAAGATGCCATGAGAATATTTTCCCTGTGGGGAAACGAAACTCAAATGTGCTAATTAAGGGTACTTAATATCCCTCAAAATTAATTCTTTGTTACCTGCAGTGGTTTAATTATTCCCTTATGGAAAGCTCAGAAATGCCCTGAATCTTTAAATAGCAGTGGACTGCTTGATTCTGAGTCAACATCCACTTTGAAGATATTTCTTCTACTCGGTGGCTACAGCAGTGGCCGAAGAGAGGAAGATTTTTCGATGACGCAATAAAACAGTAAGACAAATTTTCCCTGGTGGTTTGTGAAATCAGCTTCGTTAATATCATCATCCCTCACATGAGAGAACCTTCCAGAAAAAAAATTTATAGCGATAAAAATGAAAAGAGGGAAAGAGCTACAGTTAAACATCAGGCAATTCTAAGCTCTGACCACCAGAAGCAGTCAGCCAGCCCTGACACTTTCCCCAATAGCAGCCTGCCCTTTCCAGAAAAGCAAAAATCAGATGTCCTCAGAAGATTTTGGTTGAACGGAGAGAGAACTAACCATATACAAGGCTGTTTATCTTGAGTAATAAACTTGAGTGTTATCCAGGTAACTGTTGTTTCTCCTGGAATTCTTCTTGAATCAGGTATCCCCATGTAGCTATGGGACACACTAAAAAGCTCTAAATGTAGGTACATGTCTTGAGTTCAAATGTCACTTCCTCTGGTAGCCAACTCTGACCACCCAATCTAAAGCTGCTGCCCAGTCACTCTGTCACATCCCCCACTTACAGTCTTCCCATCACTCACAGCCATCTGATATCTTCTTGTGGGTTTACTTATCTACCAGTTTGTTCCTGTCATCCCACCTCAAACGTGCATTCTGGGAGAGCAGGGCCCTGGCCATCCTTGTCACTGCTGTACCCCAAGCTTTGAGCAGCCCTTGGGTCATGATGGCTGTTCAGTAAATCATTGTTAAAGGAGGGGAGTGTAGATTTTTTTTTTTTTTAATGTCAAACCCCTCTAACAATCAAAAAAAGATTTATTCTGGAGCCTGAGCTAGGAAAGGAGCTGGATATCCTGTGGCAGCAACCTGGAATCCGTGAATTTAATCAGGATAATGTGCGAGGACCCAAGTCCCCTGCACACACCCAAACCTCTGCACCAAAGCTGTCCACTCAAGCGAGTTTGACCAGAATCGGTCGATCAATTGATCACTTGGCAGGACTTGCAGGGTTATCATTCTCTTGGGCTGGAATGTTATCAGCTTAACCCTCATCTATCTCCTCCCTCTGGAGCTGTCAGTGAATCTCTGGAACTCTAGGTCTAACCCTATTTTGACCTACATTTGATAAGGTCAAGTGTGAGGCATTTCCTAAACTTAGGAAAACTAGGCCAAATGCCCTGCACAGACCCTGGGCCTACCTGTGTCCTAATGTACACCTGTACTTCTGCTACTTCTCTCCTCTTAATTTTGTTTGGGCCACAGAACCAAGGAGTTCATTCCACTGGGCTGGTGAACAGTTTACATAGGAGTGCATGTATGTATTATCTCCTCAATTAATCTTAACTTAGCCAAACATATAGATATGGTTTTCTGTGCCTTCACTACCCCCTTAATTTAGTCTCTAACCAATAACTCTTTTGAGGGGTTAACTAACCTTCAAGCTGCAGGCCAGAGCTACACAGCACCTGCGGGGAAACATAGTAGCTTGTGTGGAATTAGACCATTTGTAAATTGTAGTCAGTTTGAAAAGAGAAAATTTCATTGAGTCAAAAAGCCTGCTTTATCTCCTTGCAAGATTTGATATTCGAGCAGGAGGTACAGATAGAGTCATTTGCTCAGGCCTTCCAAGGCTACCCACGGTAAAGAGACAATACGGTCAGGGCAGACATCGATTTTCTGGATTTCAGACCATCCTCAGAAATACTAGTTAACACAACTCTTCATAGATCCCAATGAAGAAGACCTCTTCTCAGTATCAAAAGGGAATAACAAATCATTTGGAAAAACTTCATGTCTTAAGCGTCAAGTAATGGGAATTTGTTTCAATTCTTGCAGGCTAAAAATATGAACAAACACCACTGAAAAGGCCTAGAAAAAAAGGCCCTAATGGTGAAGTAACACTTTTCCCATCTTGCTGTCTTTTCCCAGGTCACCTTCAGACAAGGGGCGGATTTCCTCCCACATGCATTCTTCCCCCTTGCAAAGCTTTGCCCTCTCCAGGAATGACCCATGGTCAACATTTGGCCTCTGCTTGAGAATTTAAGGACAAATCTCAGCCTTCCTTTTCCTGCACCATTAGAAAATGTCTAAGTAACATGAGAGCCATCCAAAAGACAAAGCCACAAATATCCAACTCAAGGAAACAAAATAAAACCTGAAGATTTTGGCAAGGTGTCCATGGATTTCTGCCCAATGCATCTGGCCTTCCCTTTGGTCTGCCCCAACCAGCTGGGCAGTAAAAGAGGTGGATCCGGAAGACTCATCCATTAGAGGGAATACAGGGCCTGCCTGGTATCTGAAACACCTACGCAATCTGCCGCTACTCTGTGCAAGAGCCTCTGCCTGGCTCTCCTTGTCTACAGGACAAATCCAGACTCCTTCATAGGTAAGCAGGGCCCACAAGTTGACTTTCCATCTCTCTTTCCTAATCCAACAGTTCACTTTCCATCTCTTTTTCCTAATCCAAATCGTTGAACTTTGTACCCATCCCGACAACTCAACCTTCCTCTCTCACATGTGTACTTAAACAAGGTTTTTTCTTCTTCATATTATTTCCTCCTGTTTAGAATGCCTTTCCCTTTTTTCTCTACCCATCAAAATTGTATTTGTAAGCTAACTTCTGTCTCAAAAACCACCTTCTGAAATTTAGATCACATCAGAATTAGAACGAATCCCTCCCTACCTGGGGTTAACGTTGGGCATTCCACCAGGCAGGTTGTCTTTTCTCTTGAACCACTGGCTCCTTTAGGGCAGAACTAGTTCTTATTTCATCGCTATTGCCCCAGGGCCTAGCAGGGATTTTTGCACATAGCAGGTATTTAAGAAAGTTTGGTCTAATTGTATTTCTTAGGAGAACAGCCTCTAACAGCTAATTTAGGGTGGGAGACAGTTGATATGAATTGTTAAGAGTTCAGGAGTAAGAATGAAGTTCACCTGTAAATCCCAGCTTCACTTCTTACAAGCTGTATGGCCTTGGAACTAACTAAATCTTTAAGCCTGAGTTTCCTCATCTGAAAAAAATGGGGTATATTTACATCTGTAATACATAAAAGTATTTACCTCATCTAGCTATTGGAAGAACTAGATAAACACGTTTAGCACGAGGCCTAGCACTTGGTAAGAATTCAATACGTGTTACTTCTCCCCTCCTGCCTCTCCCCTCCCCCGTTCTCCTCCTTTGCTTCATTACTCCTCCTCTTGCTATCTTAATACCATAAGGGGAAGGCCAGCTGTGGACTATAAACCTGGTTACCTCTCCCACAGCTGGGCTCCATCTCTAGGCTATGTCTTAGGAAGACTTTTCCTTCTTGCAAAGAATACTGTAACTGTCACCGAAATGTGGCCTTGTTATCTTGGAGTGGAGAGAATTTGTCTTTGGGTTAACCCCTCTTTTGTTTGAGAAAACTACCTCACTAGCTCTTTGAGACATACAAATGAAAAGTAAATGTTTACCCATTGTTTGGCTAGAAACCGTGAGGTCACCAATAATTGGAAGACCCATGTTTAGCACTCAGAGTTGATGTTTGGTGTGTAAGTTCTTGTATTATTGAAGTGAGCTTCTTCCTGTAGACTTTGTTGCAATTTGTGTGTGTGTGTGTGTGTGTGTGTGTGTGTGTGTGTGTAAAGGAAAAAAATATTTCTAAGCCTTGCAGGAGTGAGTTTGGAGAGCCAGGCTGAATTCTTGCTTGTCCTAGTTAGCACTGGGCTTGGGAGCCAGGTGATGTGAGTTGTTTTGCTTTATTTTATCAGCATCAATGGCAGGAAAAGGAGACTGATGTTGGGGTGAAGTTGAAGGGCGGCCTTTCATAGAACCTTGTCACCCTCTGGGAAGGGCAGTGCCGTTCCTCTGCCCAGGTGACAAGACAGAGTTGGAACAGAGTCATTTCTCCCACCTCTTTGCAAAACCAGCTCCCCTCTGCCTCCCCCAGCAGCTACTGGAGCAAGAAGACCCACCTCTGTTGTCACTGTTGCTCTCAGAAGTCCAACCACTGGCAGAGAAAACTAAGAACGCGGTAGCTGTTATGTAGTGGCCTGAAGCACAGATGGGTTGGTGGGCATCTTTAGGAACTATAGAAATAGTGGGGAAGAAAGGGAAACATTTCTGGGAAGAGTGGGGTCAGGGACGTGACTTATTGAGCTCTTGTAACTTGGATGTTAAAATTATTGTGACCTCATATTACCATCCCCAGTTCCAGTTTTATAAAATCTGTGGCATGCTATTTGAATAAATAAATATTTGGTTTTAAAATGGATTATTATTTTTAATTTATTTTTTTTTAATTTAAAGCCAGAAAGAATTTGGGGTGGGAGATAGCATAGCATGGTGGGGTTTTTGTTTGTTTGTTTGTTTTTGATAGGTAATAAGTGGATTTATTTAGAGAGAAACACACCCCACAGACAGAATGTGGGCCATCTCAGAAGGTGAGAAAGGCCCGTAGTGGTTTTTTTTAAGAGAATGGATTCTGGAAATCAGCATATTTCTATCTTGGCTTTTCTTTTTACTAGTGTAATCACAAGCAATTTATTCACCCTCTTTAAGCCTCTGTTTTTTATCTGTAAAATATAGATGTGTGGCAGATTGTATCTTCCAAAAACAGCTGCACCGGTATATATTTCATCTCACATGCTGTTCTCATGAAGTGACTTTGACCTTCTTTCATTAAGAGATGGGACCAGTAATCCCTTCCCTTGAATCTGGGCTGAACTTTGAAACTGCCTCAACCAAAAGAATGTGGCAGAAGTGATGTGACTTCCAGCTAAGTTATAACAGGCAATAGGCTTCCATGCCTGGCTCTCTGTCTCTCTCCCAGCCTCTAGACCCCAATCGCCATGTTGTGAGGAAGCCCAGGCCACATGGAGAGGTCATGTGTGGGTGTCCCTGTTGACATCCCCACCAGACCCTCAGCTGACAGCCAGCATTAACTTCTCGACATGGGAGTGGTCGATTCTTCAGATGATTCCATAGCCCAGTCTTCAGATCCTCCAGCTGAGATCCCAGACCTCATGGAGCAGAGATAAATCAAATTTATCATGTTCTTTCTGAATTCTTGACCCACAGAAACCATAAGAGATGATAAAAGATTATTGTTGTTGTAAGCCCCTAAATTTTGTGCTGATTTGTTATGCAACAATAGGTAACTAAAATGAGAGATAATGGTATGTAATCCATGGTGGTGTTATGAGAATTTAAAGAAATAGCACAAAGCTTAGCACAGCAGTGAGGGCTCAAAAATGTCAGATGCTTTTATTATAACAAAAAAAGGCAGTTCCTAAGCAAAAATTTGAGGGAAATGAGGGCTCTCAAGAGACCTTTTCTGGGTGTCTTAACAGATAACCAGGGGAAAGAGAAGTTGAAATTGTTGAGGAACCCACGCTAGAAGCAGAGATCTGTGGAGCTGGTGCGTGAATAAATTCACGTGAAGATTTGGTTTTCCCTCTCTGGAAGAAGTGCTCTTAAAATTCCTGGAGCCAGAACCTCAGGATGGGAGAGAGAATATATGTGTCGGGGCCACTGTCATATCTGCACCCTCACAGTGGTTGGCCCACCACCCTGTGGTGAGCACCAGTATTTAAGAGAAGCTAGCTTCTGTATGTAATTACAATGACCTCTCTAGTCAGTTACTCTCCAAGTAACCTGTACCTGTACATGCAGGTCTAATATTAGTTTCTTGGCATATTTCAGAAAGGTATCAGACTGTCATAAAGCCCTTCTGTAAGGACTGCTTCAGTGGGAACTAGGAGATATGTCAAGCTTGTCCTGTATCACTAAGGTAACAAGAACTCCATCATCCTCAAAATTGGCTCTAGTTTCAAGAGCCATCCATCATTTTGATGAAGATAGATGTGGACCACTGAATATTCTCCTAGTGTTTCCAATGACCAAGGATATCAACAGGAAAAGGAAAGACAATGGCCAGTTTATACTTCTAATCTTTTTCCCCCATACACACAAAAAAAGGTTATAAAGTATTATAAAGTCAGTAACAGAATAAGGACACCAGAAAATATATCTTTTTCCCCCTCTGTTCCTGAAGGTGTGTTGTGTAAAATTTGGGATTATTTCAGATTTATAAACAATTATTTTAAGCAATGATTTGAAAAGAGAGGCAAGACTTTAATGGTGGTGTCTCTGGCATAGTAGCTGAGGAAATGGTTTTTAGGTTAAATGTCATTTTAACATCCTTTAAATCATCCTTTAACCCTACTGATGTGGCACATGCTGGTAAATTTAGATACCATCTACTGAGTGCTTTTCCTTGTTCTAAGCACTATACTAATTTCTTTGTATGCATTACTTCATTATAATCCCCATCACGATCAATGTTATGAGATAGGCGTCACAAACCCCAATTTTTTCTTGTGGAAATTGAGAGTTACAGAAGTCAAACAGCTTCTAAGAGGAGCTGAGATGGGATCCAAAGACCATGCCTTGCCCATTACTAACTTTAGCTGAGGTTGCTTCTCCACTCTGCATGTGCAAAGGCTGCTTCAAGACTCAGCTCAAGTGTCACCTCTTCTTGCATGGTTTTCTGTTCACACACACACACACACACACACACTCACAGGACATCTCTCCCACTCACTTCTCTCTAAACTTCTATAGCATGGCTGGCCAAATGAAATAATGTGAGCCACGTGTGTAATTTTAAATTTTCTAGTAACCACGTAAAAGCGTGAAAAGAAACAGGTGAAATTAATTATATACTTTAACCCAATGTATCCAAAATACTATCGTGTCCCATGTAGTCAATATAAATATTATTAATGAGATGCTTTGCATTTGTTGCAGTGAATCTTTGAAATCTGGTGTGTATTTTATACCTACAGTACATCTCAGTTCGAACTAGCCACATTTCAAATGCCCAATAATCAATAAGTAGTGGCTGTTCTATTGGACTGTGCAGTTCTATAGCATTTAGCCCATGTCATTTCCTTTTTATTCAGTGTAAAGTAAGTCTCTTGAGGTCAAGAAATGAGACAAACTCATCTTTGTGTTTCCCAACATCCCCAAATATCACATAATAAATGTTTGAGTCAACATGTGAGTCAAGAACACAAGTACTGGCACCTTACTGGATTCCTAGAAGGGAAGTATCTGCCCCACATCAAGGCATGGGTAGTTCTCACAAAGTCATCTTCCCACCAGGTAGTCTTAGGAGCTACAAGATGCCCAGAGAGCTGCAAAACAGCCTTGAGATTGAAGTTGTGAAACTGACAAGGAAGAAAAAGAGAGAATGCTATGGGGGTTATGAAAACAAAAGACAGACAAAGCCCCAGATCACTTTCTGGTGATCATTCAAAAAAAGAAAACGAGACAAACACATGGTGATGAGAGGTTACCAAGTGACTCAACCATCTGAAAATAATAGAGCAGTAATTGATACTTAGTGTGAAAGGTTTCTTTAAATCTCTCCGGTGTGGCTTACACACTTGAAACACATCTTGAGCATATAAAAGTGGTATATTTGGAAAAAATAACCTTTTTTTGGCCACTCAGGTTATATCTGACTCAAAATCCAACAGGTAGTATCCATTAAAAAAGTCAGTTGTCAATTAGTGTCTTAAGTATTGACCAGTTTTTTCTTTTTTCAATGAGTAGCTCTTACGATATGGGAATATAGCTTCACAGTGTATTTACTGTATTGTTTGTGAATTTGTACTCAGTTATTTTCCTAGTTGGCTGTGACAGTTAGTGACACATCCTAAAATACTTTTCATTTGTGTAGGACTTTAGAGTTCACTTTTGTATATATTACCTCCCCTTGATGAAACTCTTTGGGACATTTTGTGTCACTCCCCAGGAACCTTCTGTCGAGGATTTCTGGAGTCATACAATCAGAGTCTCAGGCTGTTGATTTTGGAAATCATGTCAATTCATAGTTTACAAGTGATTAAAATGCAGTCTTCTTTAAAATCAGAGCTTGCCTTTTAAGTACATACGGGTCTTTCAGGACATACAGGTGGATTGAATGCAGAAAATCCTCAGACGCTCCCTCTGCCTGTGAAGTAATAAGGTTTGGAAAAGGCATTTTACTGATGTCCTTCGGTTTCCAGCAAAAACATGTAGGACTAAGACCATCACAGGCTGAGAGGGCACTCATAAAATATGATGAGGCCTGGGCTTCCCTGGTGGCGCAGTGGTTGAGCGTCCGCCTGCCGATGAGGGGACATGGGTTCGTGCCCCGGTCCGGGAAGATCCCACAAGCCGCGGAGCGGCTGGGCCCGTGAGCCATGGCCGCTAAGCCTGCGCGTCCGGAGCCTGTGCTCCGCAACGGGAGAGGCCACAACAGTGAGAGGCCCGCGTACCGCAAAAAAAAAAAAAAAAATGAGGCCCAGAAGTTTGGGGATTTTTAATGTCAAGAAACATTCTCCCTGGAATATCAGCCTCACAGTTATTATCATTTCAAGAGGAGGCCCGAAACAGGTAAGGAAGCCTCTGGACACTGTTGGCTGAAGCAGGGCTTCATCTGAAATCTGCACTCAGAGCTGACTGAGGACACCTTGTCCTGAGGTGTCTCTCTGTGGTCTCACCACGAGGTGATTGCCAAGTAGCTCGGTCTGCTCAAAGTTTCACTAATGGAGTTTGATGGTTGGTAACAGAAAAGTAAGATATAATGCAACTTCTTTTCTTCTTTTTCAAATCTCGTGCTAATTTATATTCAAATTCTTTTAAGCATCCAGGGTGGAAGGGAAAGTTTTTTCCCTCACAGGGTGGTTAAGAGTAGGGCGTGGGTAGGGTTTCCATATGCCCTTTACACCCAATTAATTTTCTACAGAATTGAGCTCTCAGGAGGCTGCTAGTTTTAAAGCCTATCCCACCCCCTTTTATCAGCCGTTGAAATGGGCCATTAGATCTTCAATCGTTATCAACCCAAGATGTTATGGTTGTAGCTTAGCAAGAATAAAGCCATTTTCGAAAGGTGTGTGTGTATGTAACAGGAAGAAAACTGTGTTACCTAAAAAAATTGGATAGCGTTCTACATTCTACACTAATGGATCTTTCCTAACAGTGGAAGGGGGTGGGGGAGAGTAGGTTAGAAGATTGTGGGAAAATAAGAGAGGGCTTTAGGGCCATGGTTTGCCACCCTTTTTGATCAAACATCTCATTTTTATAATAAGGAATTAAGACTGCCACCTTGACTCTCCTGAAATGAAATTCAAATAATCTTTTCTAAAAATCCAATGTACTTCCCTAACTGTAGTATAAAGGAGCAATAAAAAGGAAGCAATTTATGAAATACATAAAAATATGTATTCAATACGCAAATGTTTGGCTAAGAGGACACTAGAAAGTCCATAATGGAATCAGATGCCTGCACTGATCCTAGAATCCAACAAACACATTGGTGACAACTGCACTCTGAACCGTTGTGTGTTGCATTGAGCAATGTTGCCATCCTGATGTGATGTCCTGAAATAGTGAACACCTCTTGGGGAAGTTCCAAACCAAATGCAATCATCCCTCAAAAAGTCAAAAATATGTTGTTTTTATATATAACTCAGAGTCAGGTTCTAGGTTCAGATAACAGGATTTATCTTTACCTACATGAGTGTCCAAGGGAACTTTGAAAGTAGCAGGAGATGCCAGACAATTCTTCATTATGTGAGACTATCTCACAGGTTGAGATAGGTTCAAGGTTAAGACCTTGAACGCCATTTTAAGGTCTTAACACCATTTCCTGTTTTATGCTATGCTGAAGTCTCCTATTCTTAGGCCCAGACCTCTCGCAAAGCTGGTGAATCAGGCTTGGAGAGCATCAGCGGTGAACAATGCCCCAAATCATGCCATGAAGCTAGTTTGGTGAAGACCCTGCCACTGCCACCACAGGGCACAGACAAGTCAGTGTGTGCAGCTGCCACCACTGACCTGGGAAGAGAACACAGCTGTCTCCCAGGTATCACCCTATACTGCTTGAGGACCACATGGTAACTGCTTCTTCACGCCGCTGGCTTTCGCCTTTGAAGTGTGGTGAGTGAATCTGATTGGCTCAGCCTCTGTCACATGTCCTTGTCTTAACTGAAAGGGAGGTTCGGAAAGTATACAAACATCTTGACCTTCTAGAGTGGGAGGCAGGCTCTGCTTCCTCCAAAACAAGAAAAGGGTTCAGAGGCAGGACAGCCTACCAGAATGGCCAATGCCCACTCTAGCTGGCCAAATGAGTTCTGCAGAAGTCCCATGGGGTTTTAGAGTAGAGAGTGGTCTCTGAGGAGTTATGGGCAAGGAAGGATTTATACAGGAGGTGAGGTTTGATCAAGACTTGAAGGATGAGGAAATTAATATGGTTGTGTGTAGGGATGGGAGAAGGAATTCTCTAGAGACGGAATGACATGAACAAGTATGCAGAACTGGGAAAACAAGTGCAGGCAAAGGAGTCCAATTTCACTGGAACTGAGTTCCACAGGGAGTCATTAGTGAAAGGAGAGAAGAAGGGACAGGAATGGCATGGAGAAGTTTGGTGACTTTGTTTAACAACCTTTTGACGTAATCAAAGTTGTGTTTGATGAGAGTATTTGCATATTTTCTGTATTGACTTTTATTGATTTATCAAAAAATAATGTCCTTGTCAATTTGAATCTCATTCTTAGTCTTTAGGGGAACAGACCTGTTTTTATGAATTGCTAGGAGCCTGAAGGTTATTTGGTTGTTTGTTGTTTGTTATTTTTGTCACTGTTGTTGCTGTTTTTTTCTGATAAAGAGGCTAACTCCTTTATACTTTTAATTTGTATTACATTGTATCCACTGAGGAATTTCACAAGTATCTTTTAGCTGATTCTAAGAGTGACCCCCACCTGCAACTTTTAATTAAACTAGGTGTCATAATCCATTTTTTCCAACACTCGTTGCACACCTAACATGTACCAGGATCACTATTTAATGCTTTCATCTACATGTTTAATGTTATTTTCAAATTACTCTTTTATTTATGAAGAAATAGGATCTGAGAGAATATATAATTTGCCCAATGACACACAATTTAGAAGTGGTGGGATAAGGGTTTTGACTCATGTCTGTCTATCTAATTTCCACATGATCTAGTGGCTTCTCTCATCAGAGTGCAATCTGAAATTATTGGCTGTGCTATCTAGAAGTTCTGTGATATTTTGGTTCTAGCCATTCTGAAGCCAAGAGTCTCTGAGACTCAGTTTTAAAGAACTCAAAGGAAGCAGATCTTTTATTATTATTATTACTTTTTTATTGACGTATAGTTGATTTACAATGTCGTGTTAATTTTCTGGTATACAGCGAAGTGATTCAGATATATATATATATATATATATGTATGTGTATATATATATATATATATATATTCTTTCTTTTCCCTTATACATTATTATAAAATGTTGAGTATAGTTCCCTGTGCTATATAGTAGGTCCTTTTTCTTTATCTATTTTATATATAGTAGTATGTACCTGTTAATCCCAAACTCCTAATTTATTCCTCTCCCCCTTCCCATTTGGTAACCATAAATTTGTTTTCTATAAGTCTGTTTCTGTTTGGTAAATAAGTTCATTTGTATCATTTTTTTAGAGTCCACATATAAGTGGTATCATATGATGTTTGTCTGACTTACTTCACTTAGTATGATAATTTCTAGGTCCATCCATGTTGCTGCAAATGGCAATATTTCATTCTTTTTTATGGCTGAGTAATATTCCATTGTACATATATACCACATCTTCTTTATCCATTCATCTGTCCATGGACACTTAGGTTGCTTCCATGTCTTGGCTGTTGTATAGTGCTGCAATGAACATTGGGGTGCATGTATCTTTTCAAATTAGAGTTTTCATTTTTTCTGGATATACGCCTAGGAATGGGATTGCTGGATCATATGGTAACTCTATTTTCAGCTTTGTTTTGTTTTGTTTTGTTTGTTTTGTTTTTTGTGGTACGCGGGCCTCTCACTGTTGTGGCCTCTCCCGTTGTGGAGCACAGGCTCTGGACGCGCAGGCTCAGCGGCCATGGCTCACGGGCCCAGCCGCTCCGCGGCATGTGGGATCTTCCCAGACCGGGGCATGAACCCGCGTCCCCTGCATCGGCAGGCAGACTCTCAACCACTGCGCCACCAGGGAAGCCCTATTTTCAGCTTTTTTAAGGAGACTCCATTCTGTTCTCCAACCTTGTTGGACATCTCACTCAGGATCACCTGGCTTAAATCAACAAATCTTTCATCTTGCCAAGGATGCCCTTTGCAGTAGTGGAAGTTAACTATGCTACTATAGTCTTTATGCCATTTTTGTTTGGCTGTTGGACAACTCTGCCTTGAGGTGATATAATCTGCCTTCCTTGGTACTTCCTTGACAGTACCTGGTACATCCTTGTGTGATAAAGTTACCCCTGAGAGGATGTGCTACACTCTTGTCTCATTCTCTGAACCAGAGGCTCCAAGTCCTAGAGAGTGGTAATACAAACCAACATCCAAGATCTAGGCATCATCATGGAGAAGAATGGACAACAGAGTCCAATGGTGATGTAACAACCCATTTGTGTCTCCAGTACATCCTCCACCCCCAGCAAAGCTTGAGCAGAAATTTCAAGGTATGGCCATCCAGTACGCTGTAACATTTGGTTTCCAATTTCTATTTTCTTTCTTTGTTCACGCTTTGAGAGAGAGACCAACAGGCATTAAAATGTCAGAAAAAAAGCAGGCAATGGGAGGAAAATGGAAAAAATAAGTAATCTTCGATTTCAAGCTTGGCTGGACCTCTCCCCTGCTCTGCTGCCCTTAAGGAACAGACCTTGTAGCAGGTGTCAGAGGCATTCACCACCCACCTCAAGTCCTCACTCTCTAGATCCCTCAATCTGAAGGTCATTTTGTCTCATATTTCACTGAGAAATAGAGGCCAACGGTTTGAAAATCTTTCCTTTCCCTCACCCTGCAAACCTCCCTCTATTTAGAAAAGTGTACCTCCTACTTTTCAAAGTTAAGCTCTCCTCCCATGCTCCTAACACCAGTCCCACCTACCTTCTTCTGTAACTCGCTCCATCAACTACCTTTATTTTTGTCTCCTATGTCTCTCAGGTTACAAATATGTTCAAGGGCACCATATCTTAAAGACAAACCAACACATGAAAAGGCTTTTCTACCCCTAACCCACACACTGCCAGTTCACTTCTTTTCCCTTTGCACAGATTTGTTGAAAGGGTAAGGCTTCATGTACTGTCTGTACTTTCTCACCTCCCATTCACTCCCTGATGCAATATGGTGTCTTTGCTGAAACTGCTTCCCCCAGACCAATGTATTGGACATCTGAGTTTTTGTTGTTGTTGTTTGCTTGTTTGTTTGTTCTGACTGGCATTCCTGACCAGAGTTCCCCTGGTGGTCACAGTCAGAGGGGACATTCACAGAAGCCAATGTAGACCTCTTGAGTTTCCTTCTTTGGAATCTGACACCTGAGCAGAGACACACTGAAGAAGATGTGAGTGCTGAGCATCAGCTGGCATCACAGTGAAAAAAGTCCACCTGTTTTTTTGATGCTCAGCACCCCAGGGCTCCTATATTTCCTGCCCTTCCTGAGACCTGGTATCTCAGCTCTTCATGAGACTGTGAGCTATACTGTATGCTGATAGCTCCCCTTTTCCTTTTTAAGTTACTGAAGGGGAAATGGGGAGTAAAGGCTAATAAGCATAGAGTTTCTTTCTTCCCTGAGATATCTTTCTCACCCATGTCCTAAGATGATGGGAATACAAGGGGTAAATCCCTGACATCAAAACTCCCTAAAAGTCCAATATTATAGAGCAAGTCATTAGCATGAATCCACCAGACACCACTTCCCCTGAGTTGTCTTACACAGATTTTCCCTGCTAAAAGGGGCATTCAGAGGTGGAGTGATGATAGTTGAAAAAAAAACAGAAGAAGTGCAACAGGGATGCTTATTAATTAGTTAGAAGAATAAAGAATCAAATTGGCTTATCCTCAGTTCTAGGAGGCCTGGAGAGGAGCACACATAAAATCAGGTGGACACAGATTCATGTTCTGGAAGATCCAGCTTTAAATCCCAGCTCCATTGCTTAATCTGGTTTTAGACTCCTTAACTTCTCGAAGCCTCAGTTTCTTTACCTGGAAAATGCAGGTAATAAACGTATCTACTGTGTAACGTTCTTATGAAGATGAAATGAGCTGTAAGAAATTTTAAATGGTTAGCAGAGCGTCTGTTAACCAGTGAGTGATCAATAAATGTAACTTGCTATGACTATGATTTTTTTTCTAAATTCATGTATAATCTCGCTGGCTTGCCATGAGTTAGGCCACAGTGGATGGTCATAAAGAAATATATTTTAACTGCTTTTTAAAATTATTTTAAAATCATCCTTAAGTTGCCCATAAGGAAAAAAGAATTGGCTTGGATCCTTCAAGAAGAAAAGATAGATCTGAGCATTCAGTGGTGATAGGTGAGCTTCCTAAGGAACGTAGCAACTTGGTTACTAGGGAATTTTTTTTTAACTGAGGAAGAAATGATTATGTGTTAACATATTTTAGATGTGTGTCATGTTTAGGGATCCTTACTGTTCAAGGAAGTCAAGTAAGGAGGGAGGCAGTTTCTCATTGCACAAAATGAGACAAAAAGAAAGTACAACGGACCCTTGAATAATGAAAGGGTTAGGTATATCAATTCTCCCTGCAGTGGAAAATCCCTGGATAATTTAGTCAGCCTTCCTTATACGCGGTTCCTCCGTATCTGCGATTCCATATCCTTGGATTTAACCGACCTCAGATGGTGTAGTACTGCAGTATTTACTGTTGGAAAAAATCCGAGGGTTTTTTTCCCTCGGGAAAAGTGGCCCCACGCAGTTCAAATCCATGTTGTTCACTGGTCCACTGTATTGAACTGAGAGAGAAACTGAATATTACAATGGCAATTGATACTTCATCTAAAACTGCAAAGTAGACAGGTGAGTGCTATGTGGCTCAGTGCTAAACCCAGAATATAACTTCAACAGTTTCCTAAAAGCAATAAGGAGTATG